ACACACACAAGCCACACATATCCTACACTAAGAACACACATACACCATACCACAGAACACTCACAACACAACCATATCGCAGAATAAACACACACACACATATACCACAGAACACACACACCACAGAACACTCTGAGACACAACCATACCACAGAACCCATACACCACAGAACACACACATACCAGAGAATGCCACACCACAGAGCACTCATACACAATCATATCACAGAACACACATACACACACAAGCCACACACATCCTACACTACAGAACACACATACATTAACACCATACCACAGAATACACACACCACAGAACACTCACAACACAACCATATCACAGAATAAACACACACACATACACCACAGAACACACCCCACAGAACACTCACAGATACAACCAACTACAGAGTATACACACAAGCCACACACACCCACACACATACACTATACCACAGAATACACATACCACAGGACACTCACAACACAACCATGTCACAGAATAAACACACATACATATACCACAGAACACACACACTACAGAACACTCCAGTACACAACCATACAACACACACACATATACCACAGAACACATACACCACAGAACACACACTCATACAACCAACTACAGAAAATACACATGAGCCACATACATTCTGCACACATACCTCACAGCACAGAATACCCGCATAAGCTGCCACAACACACACATACCATACCACAGAATACACATACACAGCACAGAGCACACATACATATCACAGAACACACATACATCACAGAATAGTCACCATCTCACACCACAGAACACATACAACAGCATGGAACACACATACCACAGAATGCATATACATACACATCACAGAAAACAGACACACACAGACACACACGCCCCATCAGTCCCTTTCACCAACACCAAGAACACTTATCAGAGATGGCCCAGAGCACACATCTGCCTCCACCAGACAGCCCTTTCTCCTCCATGTACTGGAGATACTGAGCACACACCTCACCTGCCACGTCCCCCCCCCCACACACACACACACGTCCACCCCCAGGCCCCACAGGCAAGGATCTCTCGGTGCCTCCGTGAACTCCACCGACTCCACAACCTTACGGCAGCCTTCTTAGTGTTGACTTTTTCCTTCCTAGAAATGTACGAGTACCAGCCAGAGGCTGTGGAGATGCCTCTGCTCCAGGATGTGAGGCAGCAGCACAGGGCCTCCCCCTGCCCACGGCCCTGCTTTCATTTCCATCTGGCTGACGAGCCCTGCACACCTGCCACACACAGGAGGAAGCAACGGGCCATGAAAGTCTTCTACATGAGAGTCCGGAGGAAAAGAGGGGGCAACGTCGTGTGGGACTCCCAGGAAGGCCTGGTGCCCCCCAGAAAGAGAACCAAAGTGGAAGAAATAGCCTTTCCTGGCACCATGCCTGCACAACCCAACCTCTCCTACCAGTCCACGGAAGACCTTGTGACCGAGGACTCCAGCTGCTTCATGGGAGAGCAGGAGCAGGTGCAGGAGGCTGCCAGCTACCAAGCGGCTCCGCCAGCTGAGGAGGGCATGCCCCAGGCCCAGGCCAGCACACCTGAGTGGCAGCTGAGCCCCAGGAGAGGCTTCAAGTGCATGGCCTGCTGCCGCGTCTTCTCTAGCCTGGCGGACCTCCAGGAACATGTGCAACACGGGGCAAAGGAAGGCTTTAGCTGCCGGGTTTTCCACCTCGCCTTCGCCTGGCTAGAAAGCAAAAAGCACATGTTGGAGAAGAGGGACAATAAGAAGACGGCCAGGAAGACATCTGGACGCAAGAAGGAGAAACATCTGGACGCGGGCAAATCCCCACGCCAGTAATCTTGACCCCTGTCAGCCCCTACAGAAGAGCAGTCGCACTCTACCTAGGCAGTCCATTCTCTTTACGCAGAAGAGTTCCCACCGTTGTCTATAGGCACCCACCACCACCACGGCCTCGGTGACCACAGCCTCTCTGTGGGTGGGATCCTCTCTGCTCTGTGGGTAGAAAAGGGCAGACCCTGATACACAGCAGAGCAACGTGTCCAGCCGTCCAACCAGTAATGCACACCAGTGTGTCGCCCCCGCCACTGCAGCAGAGAGGAGACTCACTGGAAGTGGCAACTGCCATGTGCTGAATGTGCAACAGGTGAGGACCCACGGGTAGGAGAGCATCCCAAAGGCCTGGAGCAAAGGTGGCGTCAGTAGCAGGGACTCCCCCGGGAAGCTTCCCAGGGCTCACGGTCCCTGGATTGAGTGTTTCCTCCAGACCCACATACGCATGGAGAAGGCGTCCTGCCCATGCCTCCGGAGTGGGTGGGAGCAAAGTCGTGTCTACCAGGCCAGCTGAGAAGGGTGGGTTGGGTCCCCCACTCCTAGATAAACCTAAGAGCCCCAGCTCCTCTGGGTTCAGTTCTTGGCCTGGCTTCCTTCCGAGAGGCAGGACAAGGTGGGGACAAGCCTGTGTCCCTGAGGGAGGGCTGGTGGCCTGGCTCTTTCCTGTTTTCTGAAGCTCATTTCTGGGAGGAGGCTGAGGAACTACACCCACTCCAAGGCCCACAATGAGTGGATGTCTCTGCTTCTTGCCTCCAGAAAAAATGTTCCGTGGTACATGCTGGGAACCAGAAGTGAAGGCTCTTTCCTCAAAGACGCCATGCGCACCTGGGAAAGGGGGCCTTCCTGCCAGAGATCCTTGCTGGCTGATTTTAATACGATTTGCCTCCCGATTCTCACATCTTGTTCTTTTTGTTGCAGCATCAAGAGTTCCCCCAAATGACCACCAGAGAAGAATTAAACCCAGCAAAGACTTTTCCCAAGGTCAGCTTCTTATTGAATATGTCCTGAATTCCTGGACACACCAAGGGCTCCTCGTCTGTCCTCCTATAATCAACCATAGAACGGGACCTGGAAGTTGTCCTCGGTTTTCTGAGTCATGCAGAGCATCTCAGGATGGCTGTGTGCTGTTAAGAAAAGATGCCTGCCTTATCTGTGCTGGTTTTCCCACGGCCTGAAGGCAGGTGTCCAGCATCACGCAACGTTGTAACCTGAGAACAGCCACAGCTGGACTGAAGACAGAGCAGCCGTGGCCCTGGTCAACATGCCATTCCAGCTCCCAAGAAAACACCTACAGGGCTGTGCTGAAGTAATACTGGACACACCTCACCCCGAGGAGATCTCTTCCTGATAACTGTCAGCTCCACGGGAGGGCAGAGGACACTGGGAGCGCCTCTCGGGTTAGCTTTGGGGAGACGAGAAAGAGCAGTACAAATGGGGAGATGTTTCAGTACTCCTGGAAGCAAACACTGACACACCGAGGGCTACCAGCACTGTTACCAGCAAGCAGATCACAACTAGGCAGGACACTGCTCAGCTGACACCAGGATACTCTAGCTCTCTTCCCATTGTGGGCCCTACTCTGCTCTCTGGGTGTCTTTCATTTCTGTTACATTGGAACACCCAGCTCATCATCTCATGCTCCAGCCAGATACTGCAATTCACCCCACTGCACCTAATCTTTCCCCACCTCCTCCCTCCCACACAGAACATCCATGAATACGTGCTTGAGACAAAACATGTCAAACAATACAGAATTTAAATCACACGAATTGGAATACCCTTCTCTCTTGCACTCACTCCCAAGCCCTCGGCGTTTGTTGTTAGCACCCTTTTTGCACCCTCCTTCCCTACGTCTCCCTCTAAAACACTTTGCTGTGTGTTAACTGGCTGCAGGGCAGACTTCTTACGGAAGGAAGGAAACCAGGCACTTCCCGGATAAAACCAGAAATGATGAAAAGGTTCCACTTGGCTTCTCTGAGCTCGTACACACATAGGTGAACAGATTCTTCTCCAGTCACAATCGGAAGTACGGAACATGTGAGAAGTCACTAGGGGCAATCCAACACATGTATACACAGGTGTCCCCCAAGCCATAATGCAGGGAGGTGATTAGAAAACTCAAAGTGTAAAGGCTACTGACTTCTGCAAAAATATCACTTGCACGTTTTAATTATCTGCATGCCACTTACAGTTATTTCATATCCTTTCAAGGATCATGTTAAATTTTGTCACTCTCTGCCATCTCCAGAGTGATAGAAATAAACAAATCAAACATGAAGAGGCAGAAAATGCGTGCAGCTAGACAGTGGAAGGGAAAGTAGGAGATTCGAGTTTAAAATGATACTCTTCATAAGTTGTAGCTTTTACCCTTTAAAATAGTCACAGCTTAAAACCACATGATGGCATTAAGGACACCTGTATATGCACAAATGTGGTTATCGTGCAATGATTAATTATATGTTCTTTCCTTCCTCGTGGGTGTGAATGTGAATCTGGGTTTGCACAGGCTCAAAGGAGCGACATGGTGGACCGTGGCTGCTTTTGGTTTCATCTGCCTAGGATTTTGTCTTTCTTCTTTGATAAGCGTACCTGCCTTCCCACCTAGTATGTGAGCAAATGAGTCAGACTCCCCAGGTGCGGTCCACCCTCCTCTGCTTCGCTGTTAGAATTGACCTAGAGGCAAACATCTATCTGTGCTAATCTACCCTGATGGCTTAGAAAACCAAATCAGAAGAGACAGAGACTGTGGAGTCAGCCTTGAGTGATCTTTTATCTGCTCCAATGGAGACAGTACACACTGCAACTTCACCTCTCCTGCACTCAGCCCCACTCTTTCCCTTGGTGTTGCTTGTTAACTATTTAACATCTCTCTCTACAGCCATTTCTACAAATGAACTCTGACCGTTTCCCATGTCTGTCCCTGATATGCTTGTCCCTGTGCATCATTTGGCTGGAGGACAGACTTAATGTCAATGAGAAGAAGTCAGGAACTTCATAGCTCAAACAAAAAAACAATGAAGAGCCACTCCTGGCTTCTTAGATTGTGCACATGAAAGAAACTGCATTCCACATTCTTAACAGGCAGGACAAACCCTGCCGTACCTCATCTGAGTCAATCAAGTCTGTGTATGTCGAGGGGTCCCCTAAACCAAAGCACAGCATGGAGCAGTCCTCCGTGCTGCTGCTCTTTGATTCTTAGTGTTTGAAAGACCCGGCTGTTCTGTTAGTTTAATTTACTGATTACCCCACTATCCATTCAATAAAGTTTTGTTCTGTTTTGTTTCAGTCGGTCTCTGTCATTTATGTTGTCACCTATTGGACCTTAACTGATACCCATTAGCATGAACACAGTGAATTCTTCCACTTTGCTCGTGTAAACGATGTTTTCCACAGAAGAATAGCAGATTGCAGTCCTCAGACTTTATGTCGAAACATCACTTTAGCTCAGCTGATATAAAATGCCCTCGATCGATGAGGGAGAGACACTGACGATGCTTGAACATATGAGCCCAGTGACTGGACTTCAATACGGTAGGCTTGGTCTGAAATCCCTGCATTCGTCCTGGGCTTACATTTCCTTCATCAGCACTTTGCTCTGCCTCAGGTCTCTCACTGTGGAAGCGGAGATGATAGCATTCACTGAACACGTAAATGCTACAGAGGTGAAACACACATGATCGCAGGTGTGAGGGTAGTGGCCAGGTGAAACACAGGCTCGGTTTCCTTTTCTTTATTCACAAGTGTTATTTCACATGCTATGTCTTCTACCCATTAAAAGCCAGGATACTAACATCCATAATGGTTAAAAGATGTACACCCAGAATCCAATATGGTCTTAGGCTGTCACACCCTGCATTGTCACCATTTTACCTTTACATCAATATCACCAATATGCCACCCACAGAATATTTTAAACCCAGCTTCAGCTCAGCTGCACGGCCTCATCCCCCTCCTTTTGAAAGGAGCAAATTTATGACATTTCAACACATGCATGCAATGTGTACTGATCAAATCAGTGTAATTAATACTTCCCATTTTTTAATAACCACTTTCTGATTGGAGGCTTGGAGCTACTTCTGTTTATAAGATACACGTGATTGTGAACTGTAGTCACTGGCTATACTGTGTAACACTATGAATTTATTCCTCCCATCTCACTCTGATTTGACACCTATTATCCTAACCCTGTCAGCATCTAGTAATACCAGTCTGTGTTCAGGCTGAGATTTGGGTTTTTGCATTTAGCTCGGCATGAGACGATGCAGTGCCTGATCTTCCTGTCTCTGGCTTATTTCACTTAACATGATGTCCTCCACTTCCACCCATTTTGCCTTCTGTATGTTTTCTGGGCACACAGAAGAGAGGCACTCTGAGGCTTCAGTCGTGATTCAATGACAGAGAGGGGAAGTGCTACTTACTCTGTCCTGCTCAGAGCTTGTTACACACATATACTGAAATGTCACACTGTACTACATAAGCATAAATAATTATTGCTAGTCAAAAATTGTTTTCAAAAGTAGTCTTTTTTAAAAAAGAAAGTGTTATAAAAAAACCCATGCACAGATTTCAACGTTTTCTTTTTTTTTTCCTTTTATTTTTTTGACAGGCAGAGTGGACAGTGAGAGAGACAGAGAGAAAGGTCTTCCTTTGCCATTGGTTCACCCTCCAATGGCTGCTGTGGCTGGTGCGCTGCGGCCGGCGCACCGCGCTGATCCGATGGCAGGAGCCAGGTACTTATCCTGGTCTCCTATGGGGTGCAGGGCCCAAGCACCTGGGCCATCCTCCACTGCACTCCCGGGCCACAGCAGAGAGCTGGCCTGGAAGAGGGGCAACCGGGACAGAATCTGGCGCCCCGACTGGGACTAGAACCCGGTGTACTGGCGCCACAAGGTGGAGGATTAGCCTAGTGAGCTGCGGTGCCGGCTTTGAAGTACCCTCATACATTTTTCAATCTGCTTCACAGATTTTTAAAAAGCTAGTACAGAGAGATCACATTTTATTGACAATTTTGCTTCGAGGATTACCTACTCTGGTGTCATGTATGACAGGTAAAAGGGCACAAGCCAGCTGAAGCTTTTTACATGGTTAGACCAGCGTGTTATTCTGAGGGACAGCACACTGGTGAAATCTCGTCTACTGGGCTGGGGTGTTGAGTTACAGACAAGCATAAGAGCCACTGTGGCGCACAAGAAACACTTTCAAGATTTACCAGAAATGTCATCCACGCAGGCCACAGTTTCTTCTCAGGTGTAACATCCCGCACAGATGTTGAGGACGCCAGAATGACTACCACATCCAGGTGATGAGCATTGTCGTGAGCTCAGTTAGCTACTCGAGTTAGTCTCAGAAACTCCCGAGAGAACGTTCACTACTCGCCTTTGAAATGTACACTGTTCAGGCCGGCGCCGCGGCTCACTAGGCTAATCCTCCACCTTGCAGCACTGGCACACCAGGTTCTAGTCCCGGTCGGGGCACCGGATTCTGTCCCAGTTGCCCCTCTTCCAGGCCAGCTCTCTGCTGTGGCCCGGGAGCTCAGTGGAGGATGGCCCAAGTGCTTGGGCCCTGCACCCCATGGGAGACCAGGAGAAGCACCTGGCTCCTGGCTTCGGATCAGCGCGGTGCGCCGGCTGCAGTGCAACGGCCGTGGCGGCCATTGGAGGGTGAACCAACGGCAAAGGAAGACCTTTCTCTCTGTCTCTCTCTCACTGTCCACTCTGCCTGTCAAAAAAAAAAAATAGATGTACACTGTTCTTCTTCCTAACCACATTTATTTCATAGCAAACACAATTCTAGTTTTGCTGAGGTATATTTAAAAGCAACTTTTTAATGATTTATTTATTTATTTGAAAGGCAGAGAGAGAGAGAGAAACCTTTCAACTGCTGGTTCACTCTCCAAATGGCCACAACAGCCAGGACTGGTCCAGGCTGAAGCCAGGAGCCCAGAACTTCATCTGGGTCTTCCAAGTGGGTGGCAGAGACCGGAGTACCTGGGTCATCTTCTGCCGCCTTGCCAGTTGCATCAGCAGGAAGCTGGACCCTGTGCTCTGATATGGGATGCAGGTGCTGCAGGTAAAACCTTAGCTTTCTGTATACCGCTGGCATCAGGGGCTCCTATTTTAAAGCTTTATTTGGCTCTGGGTTTTTCTTCAAAGACCATTTTAAACTAAACCACTTTGCAGATTAAAATTGTTCAGTGGTATACCACTGACTCTAATCCAAGCTCTCAATTATTTAGCATTCCACACATTTGGGACCACACTGAATTCCCAAACCTTGTGATTTGGAATTCACAGATTTCCTTCCATTTCTCATCCCCACTTAGCACCCCAGTCATCTTTGCTGGGAAGGAGTGCATGCAATGTATATGTGACAAGGTTCCTAGGGTGTCTGCCTCGTTTTCTTCCTACTCCTCGGGCTGTTTTATTTATATATTTTCTTGTTGCCAGGGAGATGTCTCAACTTCTGTGCTCTGTGGCATCACAAACACACAGGATTCAAAATTGATCCTATTTACCCTCCAACCAGCTCCCAAAACCAAAGGGACACCTGCTCTCTCAGCTGCACAGGCAGAACCCAGCTGGGCAGAGAAGCTGCTTCCTCCATCACCCCCAGAACTCCATCAGCTACTGAGTCCCTTCTGTCCTCTCCCTCCTGTCTCCTCCTGGAATCTCACCCGCCAGTCTACCTCCACGGCCAGCGCCATCACCTCCATCAGCTCGTTACTGGAAGTGCCCCCTTTGCCGCGGACCCCCAACCTCACTGCTTGTCTGCATTTGTCTCAAATGCTGGTTTGCACTTGAATCTCTATGACTCATCCATCAGTGCAGAGATCAAACACATTTTCAGATTCAGTAGCCATTTGGACTACTTAATGTGGCTGTTTTTAGCATCAGACACACACAGTCCATGGTTGTAAATTTCCATATGCGTGCTTTATTCTATTTTTAACCCCTTTCTGTCTTGATTTCTTAGCTGTGCACTGACCTTCACAAGTCCCCAAGGTCTTCCTGCTGTCCACACCTCTCAGTGTGGAGTACACCCCAGAAAAAACCCCATGGCATTTGTACCACACACACGCACCTGTTCTGTTTATGGTACCCGTTCCCCTCTGGACAATGAAACCCTTACGGAGAAAGGCATGACATTCAACCATTTATTTATTTTCTAAAATTTATTTATCTGAAAGGTGGACTTACAGAGAGAGAGGAAGAAACACACACACATATGCAGAGAGGTGGGGGAGAGAGGGAGAGAAAGACAGAGAAATATCTTCCATCTGCTGGTTCACTTCCCAAATGGCTACAACAGCTAAGGTTGGGCAGGGCTGCAGCCAGGAGTCTGGAACTCTATCTGGGGCCCAAGCACTTGGGCTATAAAATTTATTTATTTATTTGAAGGTCTGAGTTACACAGAGAGAGAAGGAGAAGCAGAGAAAGGGGGGTGAGAGGTCTTCTATCTGCTGGTTCACTCCCCAATTGGCAGCAACGGCCAGAGCTACACTGATCTGAAGCCAGGAGCCAGGAACTCTTTTGGGTCTCCCACATGGGTACAGGGGCCCAAGGACTTGAATCATCTTCCACTGCTTTCCCAAGCCATAGCAGAGAGCTGGATTGGAAGTGAAGCAGCTGGGACTGGAGCCGGCGACTATGTGGGAAGCAGTCTCTGCAGGCTATGGCTTTACCTGCTATGCCACAGCGCCGGCCCCTTTGCTGCTTTCCAAGGCACATTATCAGAGAGCTGGACTGGAAGTGGAGCAGCTGTGACATGAACCGGCAGCCTTGTGGGATGCTGGCATCACAGATAGCAGCCCTATCACTCACCCTTCTATCAACAGCCCCTTGCAGGGGTTCTTGTAGAGGGTTGCCAGCAATTTTCAAAAGCTGCAAGGATTGATCACAGTATATCTGATGAGATCGACATCTCTCAAGAAAGTAGTGCTTGGGTTACTTGGTTATTTTCCTCTTTTGTTGTTTTTGACTAAGTAATGTTTCTGCTTGATATACACTATTAACTTCCCAAATGTTCAAACTGTTTTATTCTAACATCATAATTCAATTTTTTTTTAATTTATAAAATGGAACAATCCTCATGTATTTCATACACACAGTTTTAAGAGCACAGTTGGGGGTGGGGGCAGTGCTGTGGCGTAGTGGGTAAGACTATGCCTGCAGTGCCAGCATCCCACATGGGCACTGGTTCTAGTCCCGGCTGCTACACTTCCTATCCAGCTCTCTGCTATGG